GCGCGGCCACTGTTTATGTGTGATATTTTTCTAAACATTTTTACTTCTAGTCAAATAAAAAAAAACCCCACTTTGGACAGATTTAAGCCTGACGGAGAGAGGAGACAGAGTATATTAGTTGACGAGGAGAGAAGAGCGAGAGGGAGAGAGAGAGAGAGAGAGAGAGACAGAGACAGAGACAGAGACAGAGCCAGAGACAGAGACAGAGACAGAGACAGAGACAGAGACAGAGACAGAGACAGAGAGAGAGAGGGAGAGAGAGAGAGATGCTGACTGCTCAAATTCTAAATTCCTAAAATGTACACTTGATCTCTTTGAGATCGAAGATTAATAGACTAATAACGTAGCTTCATTTATGCATACTAACATATTATTTAACATGGTTCTTATATTTACAATAGCCTCAGGTGCTAGCACTCAGTGAAAAGGTGCCTATAGACTCATTGTACCTGTTTCTTTACAAGCAGTGTTTACATGCGGGACAGCAAACACAGCTTGCTAAATATTAATCAAAACGTTTTCTGATAAAAAGGTTCACCTGAAATTGTGTAAATATGGTTAGGGAAAGCTGTTAGCATTGGCAGTTAGTCATATCCTTAGTGGGGTTTATTTGCTGTGTTCACATACAAAGTTTCAGTGCATCAATGGCATAAATGGCGAGTGAGCATCTCCCACTTATCCATCATTGACAACAAATTTGAGAATATACAAAAACGTAATTTGCATATGTGACCCGCTCCAGCAAAGCCAGGATTAAGTAGGAAATTCTACAAATTGAGTTATGTGCATATCTGAATAGATCATTTAATTACCTTTAAAATTATATATAATATTTGGCTATATCTAAAGAATTGACCGATCTACAGCAATTTGAAGATCGGAAACCGACTTATTCCGGAATATGCAGCTTTCGAGATAAAGCGTTTCGGGTAAGGGGCCCAGTCGGGGATGAGCGGTCAGGGGCCTTTTTTTTAAACTTAAAAAAAAAAATTAAAAATGACTATAATAATCTAGAGATATCTGAACCTATATATCCGGATTAAATATGCACTTAGGAACTTATTTTTGTAAAAATCTAATTTTTGTCCAGGTAGGCCATTTTCAGCATTGACATGTGCTCATTACTCAAAACAATGACTTGCGACTTAGTCCGTATTATGCTGGAGCGGGTCACATATTTGTAAGTATATGAAAATATAAATTACAAATTTTATATGGTATAAAAATATGAATTATAATTGTAAAGTATGTATGTAAAAAATTGTAAATTTATGAAAATTTGATTGAAATTTAAATGGTTGAAATTTAAATTCCAAATTTAGGAATGTGTAAATAATCAAATTAAGCACATGGTGGTTGGTTCTGTTATCCATAATTTATATTGATCTTATGAGCTCAACAAATCGCATAACTATACATATATGTAGGTTGAACAAGCATATATTTATTGGTGGCTTATCGAATTTAATGCAATATCTATAATTTAAAAACAGATTTTCTCGACTTCAAACCTTGATTTACCAATAAACGAGGGAATGCAATGAGGATCATGTCTATTGCATGTGATTTGCTGGTGCACCACCTATAATCAGCCATGATATTTGCTCCAATTTAAAGTAGATTTCACATTAGGATTTTACAAACTGATTTTTCGTAAGATTGGTGTAATTTAATGCGATGAGCCATCACAATAACTAACCGGCTTGGTCTCTGAGATGGGTGTGTGTTAATTATTGGCAAACTAAACATTCACTTATGTTGAATAGCTCTGCGTGTGCGAAAGAAACCGTTTATGAAACTCATTGCAGTAGTGTTTATAGTGTAAACAAGCAGATCTATGTCCAATGAGAGCAAATGAAGAGAAATGAACATTACTTGTTTGTAATATCTACCAGACCAAACAAATCCCCACCGAACCGCTAGACGCGTACGTGTTTGAAAGCAAACGTTTTGATTTTTTATACATAGCGGTCTACTTTGACGAGAATTGTGAGTGAACAGAAATTACTAGAGTGATGATACCATGAAACCATAAAATATATGGCAACACATTCAAGTAGATGCTAGGATATCATAGAAATATCATAGAAAAATACTTGTTTTAATTTAGTAGGAAATAAATAAGATGTACTGATCGAAGTTACAGCTAATGGATCCAATCAGAGAATATTTTGAGTGTTTCCCAACATTTTTGCAGCGACCGAATTTATTGTAGTTTAGTATTCGGTCATCAAAGTATGTTAGCAGGCAAAAGTCCCCTCCAGTTTAGAAGTTAAAATCCTTGTATAACTAACTATTGATGTAGTGAATTGGAGAAACGTTTTAACTATTATAAACAAGGGGGCTTGATGAATGAGCCTGGGTAAGGCCATGAGAGAGCATTCTCTTGTCGTGAATTGCATTTAGAAATGCTCAGTAAAATTTCACA